CCCCAGCTGTGCCCCCTCCCCACTTCTGCCCCAGGAAACGACCCTCAGACCAGAAACTTTCTGCATTTATTTTTTATTAACCATTTATTTGTTTGTAATTGTTTTACTCTCACATTACAATTGTGTGGGTTTCTTATAATTTTTTTTTATTTTTTTAATTTTATTTTTTTTTACTTTTGTAAAATAAATAGAGATAAGTGAACTTTTTTAGGTAGGATGCTCTCCCGATCCCTGGTTAAACGTCATGATTGAATCTCTGCATCAGACCTGTGCAAACACAGCCCCACACGTGCCCAGATGAAAGCTCAACAGGCCCCGTTCATTAAAAACCCCTCCTGCCCAAGGGGCACCAGAGCAGCAGTTTCCCACCACGCACCTTTGCCCTCTGAAAAGCATTCCTGGTTCCTTTCATGAAGACACTGATAGAAGTTAAAAATCTGTGGTTTTTGTAAGCTGTGTGTGTTACTGGGTTACGTGCAGACCCCAAGCTCTGGCCCCACACTGGGCACCACGGGCTGCTGGGATGGATGCTGGGGCAGCACTGGAGCAGGGTGGGAAGAGGAACAGCTCTGTTAGACCATAATTAAACTTTTGGTAATTCAGAAGTAGACTTTTAGGTAGTTTTTTTTCTGAAGTTTAAAGCCTTTGATTCATCATCCTGGGAAAAGGCCTTTGGCCACCCTGGTACAGGGGGATGGTGCTGGGGTGAGGACACAGCCCCCAGCCCGTGGTGTCTGCTCCACCCTGGCAGCTCCAGGACCCCTCAGTCCAGACGTGGCACTTTGTGCCCAGGTCCCCTGTGGCAGCCCTGGGACAGGCAGCAGGGCCCCCCTGTGCCCTGCACAGCCCCGCAGACCGAGCTGACCCAGTGCAAGGGGCACAGCACAGGAGCCACCACACAGAACATTTCTCACCCCTTCCCACATCAGTACTCCCTTCACCATCAGCCTCGTCCCTGGCAGCTTGCTGGGAGCCTGCAGCCCCCTGTGCCCTGGAAGAAAAACTGGGGACTCTGGGACTTGGCAGGTCAAGCTTTGTCACCGCAGTGATTTTTGCACAGAGCAAGTTCTGTTCCTGACCAGGTAGATCACACCTTGGCAGCACTGGAGAGAAACGTGCCCTTTGGCTGTGCCCACCCCTTCCCCACACCCACCTCCAGACCCACCGTGGGTTTCAAGGGACAGAAACATTAATTATGCAGATGTGGAAGGTGCAGAAGATGGAGCAGGCTGGGAAAAAGCTGTTTTGCTCAAAGCAGGACGAGCTGCTGCCTCCCCCTCTTTAGTGATTCTCTTGTGCTCAGACCCCGTGTGGCAACGTGTCCAGTTCTGCAGGGACAGACAGACAAGCCACGGCCACACAGTGTGTGCAGCTGCAAACACACCGCAGCAAGTGTGCAAATCCTCCTGGCCACCACCTTGCTGAGTATTATTAGCACACTGGAGCCAGGCAGAAGCCTAGGGCTCGACCCTGGAGCCTCCCTCGCTGGCTGGGCAGAGCTCCCAGGCTTCAAACGTGTTTGTGGAGTTCACTGTGGGCACAAGGACAGTGACTGCAGCAGTGACAGTGACAGAAATACCCCAGACCTCATCACCAGCACCGTGTGCTGGGGTGGAAAGTGGTTCCATGAGTGACGTCCAGGCTCGTGGGGACGTTAGAGATGTCCATTCTCTTTCTTCCCTCTTCTTCCTGGGTAGGGTGGCATCCTGCCCTGCTCCTGCCATCTCAAGCCCCTCTCCTGGGGTTCCCTGCCTCTCCTTGCCACCACGCTGCCTATGTCTCTGCTTCCACCAGAGGGGACGCTGCAGAGAGGACAAAGTTCACGCAGAGACACTTTCCTGCAGCACCCAGAGCATGTTCCTTGATTCTGCAGACGGGCAGCTCAGGTCTGGCCCAGGGCTGGCAGCAGCCAGAGGGGTCCCACAGCCTGGTCAGATACAGGAGCTGTAGTGAGTCCTGACTTCAGTCCTTAAAGCAACCTCCATGCTTTAAGCAAGGTTTCAATGCTCCAGCAGACCAAAGAAACAAAAGTCTAAACCAGAAAGCCCTTTTTCAAGGGTATTGCCTCATTCAGTCCTTCCAAGCTCAGGAGCCGTGTGTCTAATAGAGAAGCCAACCACCAGCAACAAAAATAAAATGTTCCTTTTCTGTAGCTTTTAGAGGGTATAGCTGGGAAAAAAAAACCCCACAAAACAAAACAAAACAAACCAACCCAGAAAGGAGATTGTCTCTTCCCCTTGTCAAAACGATCAGTAGCTGTGTCAGGAAAAAAAATAAAGTTCAAGTTGGGGGTCGCAGCAGCAGCAGCCACACGGGAC